TCTGTCCTCGTTCCTCCTTTTATGATCCAGAGCTCCTTCCGTGGGATCCGAGGCAGGTGTATCCACTTACGCGGTGGCCTCACTCCGTTCCCACGGCTCTCGGCCACGCCCCCTCGCCACAAAAGCCTTCAAGTTCAGGGCTTAAACCCAAAAGACGACGATATGATGATCAGTATTTGAGTATGTGTGTGTGTGTGTTTGTGTGTGTGTTTGTGTGCGTGTGCGTGTGCGTGTGCGTGTGTGTGTGTGTGTGTGTGTGTGTGTGTGTGTGTGTGTGTGTGTGTGTGTGTGTGTGCGTGTTTGGGAGGAGGGGGGCGCCAATGGATAAGTTGTGTCAAAAGGGAGGCCCACTGTCTTAGACTTTGAAAAACCCTGATTTAACCCATATCAGCAATAAAAACAGTATATGTACACTTGGATTTTAACACTACAGGACTTACACCAGAAATTCAACACCTCACAATTTGCTGTGTATGTTCGACTTTTGCTTTGAGATTATGATTTTATTCTTATTTAGTTTTTCAATCCGTTAATTTAATGATAACACAAATGAAAAGCATTTTAGTATCTTTCACTATACATCTATTCATTCATTCATTTTCTTGTCGGCTTAGTCCCTTTATTAATCCGGGGTCGCCGCAGCAGACCTGTTCCGCATGTCTTTGGACTGTGGGGGAAAACGGAGCACCCGCAGGAAACCCACGCGAAGGCAGGGAGAACATGCAAACTCCTCAAAGAAACGCCAACTGAGCCGAGGTTCGAACCCGCACCCCAGCGACCTTCTTGCTGTGAGGCGACAGCACTACCTACCCACTGCGCCACTGCCTCGCCCACTATACATCTAAATACAGAAAAATCTCCATGGTATGTTCGACTTTTGCATTGAAATTATGATTTTATTCTTATTTAGTTTTTCAATTCGGTAATTTAATAATAAAATAAATCTAAAGTATTTTATAATATTTTATTATACCTCTAAGTACATAAAAATCTCTATGGTAAGTTCAACTTTTGCATAGAGATTATGATTTTATTCTTATTTGGTTTTTCAATCCAGTATTTAATTAATAAAATAAATCAAAAGCATTTTATTATCTTTCACTATACGCCCAAATAGGCATGGGATGATAACCGTGTTGAAGGTATACGGTTTGGAAAAGTCAAGGTTTTAAAACCATCATAATTTTCTGCTCTACTCTCCTAACGTATGGTAAGGTATTTTTTTAGTTCTTTAGGACAGCAGTGTCTCCAACAGAGAACATGTCAAAAGTTGCCATTTTAAACTTTAAAAAAATCAGTGTTTTTGAAGTAGAAGTCAACAATTCATGTTCATCATTTAGCCTGACATGTACTGCTCCAAAATATTTTTTAATGTTTCTCAAATTAAAACACATTGTGTACAAAGGGGGGAAATGTTTTTTACACAGACATTTATAAGAACATATTTTAGAGCTGCAATCTCAATACTGTGAAACTGTGATATTTATATCTATCATATCATCAGAATCTTATACTGGCCCATGCATACACCAAAATAAAGAGAAATCCCTAAGGTATGTCCGACGTTTACATTGAGATTATAATTTTATCCTTTTTTAGTTTTTCAATCCGGTAATTTAATGATAAAATAAATCAAAAGCACTTTATTACAATTCATTAAACCTCCAAATACATAAAAATATCTGTGGTTTGTTTGCCTTTTGGGCGAAGCAGTAGCGCAGTAGGTAGTGCTGTCGCTTCACAGCAAGAAGGTCGCTGGTTCGAACCTTGGCTCAGTTGGCGTTTCTGTGTGGAGTTTGCATGTTTTCCCTGCGTTCACGTGGGTTTCCTCCAGGTGCTCCTGATTACCCCACAGTCCAAAAACATGCAGTACAGGTGAATTGGGTAGGCTAAACTGTCCGTAGTGTGTGTGTGTGTGTGTGTCTGTGGATGTTTCCCAGAGATGGGTTGCAGCTGGAAGGGCATCCGCTGCGTAAACACTTGCTGGATAAGTTGGCGGTTCATTCCACTGTGGCAACCCTGGATTAATGGAGGGACTAAGCCGACAAGAAAATGTATGTTCGACTTTTGATTTGAGATTATGTTTTTATTCTTATTTATTTTTTAAATACGGTAATTGAATAATGAAATAAATCAAAAGCATTTTATTATCTTTCACTATACACCTAAACATAGAAAAAACCCTATTATGTTTACCTTTGGTTTGAGATTATGATTTTATTCGTATTTAGTTTTTCCTCCTTTAATGATGAATAAATCAAAAGCATTTTATTGTCTTTCATCATAACGTCAAAATATTGAAAAATATTTACTTTGAATTTTCTGAAAAGATTGTCAACCCCACTAAATAATAAAATCCGACTAACTATATTATTATGACAAAACAAGATCAAGAGATTTCATTTTGCCAATTTTCTCAAAAACCTGTTTGTAAAAGCTTTGAATTTGTCCACCATCTGTGAACAGCAGTCACAAAAAACAATGTGTAGTTCTGACAGAATTCGGTAATGCTCGGTAACAAGCGCGCTGAAAGACTAATTGCTGTTTGGATAGAGAGTAGAGGCTGATTCTGCACTTACAGTGAAATATGAGACTAAATCTTGACATGAGCCATGTGAAGAGCGACCTGACCAGAAGATGGTGCTAACTTCAAAAGATCCGATACTCTATCAAACAGCTCAGCCCTTAGGCTTGCGCATTTTTTAACAAACACTGTGTGCCGCAGGCATGCATTCCTTTTTTAGTGTCTGTATGATTTAGGCAGGTGCAATAGCAAACTTATTACTTAACAACTATTTAAACATCAAACTTGCTAGTTAGAAAAAATATTTAGTCGAAGTCAGAATTATTAGCCCCCCTTTAAATTTAGTTTTCTTATCATAATTAATATTAATATTTCCCAAACGATGTTTAACAGAGCAAGGAAATTTTCACAGTATGTCTGATAATATTTTTTCTTCTGGAGAAAGTCTTATTCGTTTATTTCGGCTAGAATAAAACCAGTTTATATTTTTAAAAAGCAATTTTAAGGTCAAAATTATAAGCCCCTTTACGCTAATTTTTCTTCCGATTGTCAACAGAACAAACCACCATTACACAAAGACTTGCCTAATTACCCTAACCTGTCTAGTTAACCTAATTAAGCCTTTAAATGTCACTTTAAGCTGTATAGAAGTGTCATGAAATATATCTAGTAAAATATTATTTACTGTCATCATGGCAAAGATAAAATAAATCAGTTATTAGAAATGAGTTATTAAAACTATTATGATTAGAAAAGTGTTGACAAAAATCTTTTTAAACAGAAGTTGGGGAAAAAATAAACAGGGAGGCTAATATATTAGGATGGAGGGGGGCTAATAATTCTGACTTCAACTGTATATTGAGTCCTTGATACCAATTTTTAAAATCAATAATTGTCCTAAAAAGCAATTAGGATGTTTATGCATTTGATATGATATATGGAATAATACATGTTCATCATCAGCTGACAAATTTATTTTACTCTTTAATGCCTAAACATGATCTTAGATTATCACTTGCACATCTACATCACCAGACTTACATATATAAGCCTACCTGTAAGCATTTCATAACATAGACAACTTTAAACTTCAGAAATGCATAAACATAATTCCATTAAACTCACATTCCTGCAGCATATTTCATGCTTTACTATGGGGTCGCCACAGTGGTGTGAACCACCAATTTAACTGACAACTGTTTTACATGGTGGATACTTTTTTCATATATATATTTACATTATATACAATTGTTCATTCTGTCATTTATTTTTTTTTTCGGCTTAGTCACTTTATTAATCTGGGGTCACCACAGCGGAATGAACCGCCAACTTATCCAGCATATGTTTTATGCAGCTGATGTCTTTCCAGCTGCAACCCATCACTGGGAAAATATATACAGTACAACTGTTATATATTATATACATTAAACGTGCTACTTTTTAAAAGAAAAACAATCTTCCATTCATGTTAATTTGATTCATGGATTGTCTCTCTGATAAAGAGAGAAAATCAGTTCACAATTATTTTATATTCTTAGATCATTCATTGATTCATATATATATATATATATATATATTTTTTTTTTTTTAACATTTATTTATTTATTTTCAGTCAGAAACTGCTGGTAAAATTATTAAATACAAATCGGAAACAACTCATGACATACTCCAGTGTATTTGTTTTATTTAACATGTCTAGAAATATTATTAGGATTGGTAATTTAAGTTACATTATATATTTGACAGAATTTGTAATGTATTTTACATTTGTTAATTGTATTTATTTATTTATTTATTTGTATCTGACACAACAACACATTTTGCATGTTTACAACGACAAAATACAATTTAAGTTGACTAGCAGAAGGTTGCACCAAACTGTATGGAGTGTCATCATGCGTTCATCCAGCCAAGTGTAATGTTTACAATTCAAACTCAAAAATCAGTACATTATACTAAAACAGCTATTTATTCATGCATCCAACCCAGTCCCTCAATTCCAAACATTTCAACAAGTGTCCTCTGATTCTGTGTATAAAGCTGTTGTTCAACCTTGCATTATTTATTTACATTGCTGAAGAAACTGCTTGCCACTGTTGACCATGAATCCTAAATATACTCCTACAAAATATGGTTAAGATTAGTGTTTTTTTTACTTGTAGCAAATGTATTATATATTAAATATGATAGATAGATAGATAGATAGATAGATAGATAGATAGATAGATAGATAGATAGATAGATAGATAGATAGATAGATAGATAGATAGATAGATAGATAGATAGATAGATAGATAGACTACTTGATATTAATTACATCTATAATAAGATGGCGTTGAAAAATGTTTGACTGTTACAAGTTTACAAACCAAAAACTTATGAATATAGAACCGTCGTTTAGACAAAAATAAATTTTTTTTAGCATATTTTACAGAGTTTAGAGTGTAAAAAAGATTTATTTTCGAAATCAACACACCTGAGTCTGTCGTTGGAATTCACTCTGGACGACGCTGATGACTGGAATCTGCAGCGTTGAGGCAATAAATTCCAACTTCACCAGTTCGTCCCTGTTTTGAGGAAACGAAATGATGGCAGAAACTCCTTGAACAATGACAGTGTGGCAAACACTTTGCAGGAACGACACAGGATCCGCACAGGCAGGTGTAGATGAAGAGGAAAAGGAGAAAGCAGGTAATTCTCCAAGCCCTGCTTCCACAGCCATGACAATCTCGAGCGTGAGGTTGTAAGGTAAAAGCCCCGCCACTCGATTGAGGCTCTCTGAAGCGAGTAATACAGAGTCTCGTGGCAGAAACACAACATCCGGAGCCACTTGTTTGAGTACGGTTTTACTTTTGGAGGCCTTGTTGAGGTTATTCACTGAGCTTTTAGTCCTGATACCCCTCCAGTCTTCTTCGTGGTCACTTTGAAATATCACATCCCACTCTTCCCACATTTCTCTGTCCGCATCCCAGTCCAGATCTCTCCCACTGAAGGAATCCTGCCTGAATACTCGAGGCTGAAGATGCAGAGCTCCGACTCTCACCGTATGTCCGATTCTCTTCAGAATCTGACATGGTTGTGGATGCGCCAGAGACGCCGGAGGAACGAGGATCATTATCAAAGCGCTTGGCGCAAGAAATGAAAGCCACATCAACCTTCCCAGCGCACCCCAGATCCAAGAGCCCGGCATTACTCCAAACAAGGCTCGGTTAATCTCTGGAAACGACGGGATCCACGTCCACCTGCGCGCCCGGTGGCTCCTGCACAGCGCTGGATAGATGATGGATCACCGGTGAATCTCCTAGACGCAGCAAAGTTGCGCTCCTCTCCAACAGGCTTCTGAGGGATCGCCAGCAGTGCAAGTGTCCAGCGCGGATCAAAACACTCGTTTCTCATCTCAAACGCGTTTACTGACAACACCTTCGAAGGAAACAATTAGAAGCGAGTTTTACGCGCTCTCCAAACAGGTGAAAAGGCAGCCCCTACTAATATGTAAACTGACTGCACAAATCCAAACCGATTCTGTTCTTCGCATTAGCATATGGAAAGTCCAAGAATATGAAATAAATAGTTAGATTTTCCATTTGTGTATATTTTAGCACGCAACCAGTATTCCATCTTATATTTGATTACGTTGAATAAAAATGTAAATTACGGATCTCCAGGAATGTATAAGAACTAAAACGGATGTTTAAACATGTTGCGCAGTCAAACTGTTCCGATAAACTCCCGGAATGGCGCTTGTGCAGAATAGTGCAGATTACTGCACTGGCCGTGCTGTGCTTTAACTCGTTCACTGCTGCACTGGCACCTCTGCTGCTTATGGCATCAGTCAAACATTCATGGATGATGGATTTAGGGGCGTGCTTTTTTTTTTTTTTTTTTTTTTAAGTTTAGTTTTATCTAAAATATGAGTCAGCTGCTTTATATCCCCCTCACAACAAGCAAAACGAATAACATAAATGAAACAATACAATATTAATAAAAATATTACTTTCTTATAAACTTGGCACTTTTTTTTTTTTTTTTTTGATAATTTGCCCAAACTTGTATTTACCATCTGAAACTTCTATACAGCTTAAAGTGACATTAAATGGCTTAACTATGTTAATTAGGTTAACTAGGCAGGTTAGGGTAATTAGGCAAGTCATTGTATAACAATGGTTTGTTCTGTAGACTATTGAAAGAATATATAAAGGGGCTAATAATTTTGTCCTTAAAATGATTACAAAAAATAAAAATAAAAACTGTTTTTATTCCAGTCATAGTAAAACAAATAAGACTTTCTCCAGAAGAAAAAAATATTATCAGACATATACTGTGAAAATTTCCTTGCTCTGTTTAACATCATTTGGGAAATTTATTTTAAAAAA